AATTTACTTCACATAATGGATACAAACCCAGTATCCTAGAATCTTGAGGTTAAACTATCGATGTAAGTCTGAATCTAACTTGTAAAACATGGGCCTCAGCAGAGATTTAAGCGCCTGAGTGCATTTAGTTTTTTAAAATTTCTAATTGACAGTCTTTCAGTCATCACAAAAATTCTGTAGAAACAGATTCATGATAAACTGGAGTTCTTTTCTACCGAGTATCTACAATTAATTGCAAAAGGTAAAATATTTTTAGTAATTCAAAGAAATGATTTCACAATTATCCATTCGTCTTCACAGTTTTCTGCTTGCTTAATTTATTCTAGATTCTTCCTTGGGTTCTTAATTAAATAATTAAATAATAAGCATACATTGACATAGCAATGCTGTTCAACATTGCTGGATAAATATGGACTGAGTCAGTGCACATCGATTCTTATCATCTGAGAAACATACATCCTTTCCTCAAGTTGTTTTCTAACAGACATGTGACTTTAGTGTCAAAAAGCAAAGAATTCTTATTCAAACAGACATAAGATAAAATAAACTAAGAAATACAGAGGTAGGACCACTCTGCACGTGAAGTAATAGGATTCCAGGCTGGTTCTTGTGACTCTGTAGTTTTGTAGTAATAAGATGACTGTTGTGCAGCTAGGTGCAATTATGTTAGGACAGAGGAGAGAACCATCCTCCTAATGGATGAATAAGTCTTTATTGAAGTCCTTTCTCATGTCTTATTGGCCCAAACTGCATTGTTCTTCCAAATTCAACCCATTGATTGTCAGTGAGCATGGCACTACAACATGGTAACTCTGATCAGTCAAGATAATTGCTGCCTCCCTTGCATCAAATTGAGTCAGAAGTGCAAGGGTGACTCCCTAAAGAAAATTTTTACTGCATGTTGTGGATGTGACAGAGAATAGTTACTGAGTAGGAAACAAACAGCATTGTTGTAAATGTGACGATACCTTCTTATTTCCTAAAGACAGTATATCAGGCCTATGCACTGGCACAAAAAAGAATTAGTTTCATCTGAAAAAAATTCTTCTGGAATTATGTTTACCTATAGCATAATTTCATAAAAATGTCAGAAACTTTTTAAACAACATTCATTAGGCTCTTCATGAAAAGGTAAGATTAAGGCTGAATTAGGAATAATGTATATTAAGCTGCATTCATTCATTTGCCCAAAATATTTTTAAGATTACTAAAGTCTATCAAGTACCCAGAACATAGTGATGAACCAAATTAACCACATTGCTGTCCTCAAGCTTTTAGTCTGGAGGTGGATAGAGACATTTGTAAAAACAAATGTTAAATGTGGACTGATGGTGCAGAGAAAGCTTCTGAGATAAGAAGCAACAGACTGATGATGGAAGCGCTGCACCAGAGAGCACGGTGGCGAAAAGGCTCCAGGGCAGACTGAACGAGATGCATATTGGGAGTAGGAAGGTTAATGTAAAAGTAGGTCTGGCTGCATCACTGTGACATAAGACTGATGCAAATAAGCTAATGGGAGGAAGAGTTGTTTTAGTTCACAGTCTGTTGTTATTTCTGGCTCCACAGTCAGGCAGAACAACATGGTACTGGGAGCACATGGCAGGGGAAATGCTGAATAGATATTAGATAGTATAAGGCTTAGAAGATACTTGCAAGATGAATGTTATTAACGTGGGAGTTGTCAGATATGTATTTTCCAAATGTAAATGGAAAACTGAAGGAAGTAAATACAGAAAGGGACTAGATACAACTGCAAGCGCATGTCCCCAGTAATGTGTTTCTTCCAACCAAGCTCCATCTGTGACTAACCATTCTGGGAGTCTATCAAGGGAAAAGCCTCAAAAGCCCATCAGCTGGCAAACAAGTCCCCATGCATGATAGCTTGTGTTTTGACTAGCAGTGTATGAAGAGGGAGTGTGACTTCATAGGGAGTTTGCAGACTTTTTCTTCCTTGTTATCTAAAAGCCTTCAAGAGTCATTTAAAGGATTTGAGTTAGAAAAGTAATGGAGGGTAACCAGCTTTATGATTTTAATGTATACACTAGCAGTGTATGAAGAGGGAGTGTGACTTTATAGGGAGTTTGCAGACTTTTTCTTCCTTGTTATCTAAAAGCCTTCAAGAGTCATTTAAAGGATTTGAGTTAGAAAAGTAATGGAGGGTAACCAGCTTTATGATTTTAATGTATACACTAGCAGTGTATGAAGAGGGAGTGTGACTTTATAGGGAGTTTGCAGACTTTTTCTTCCTTGTTATCTAAAAGCCTTCAAGAGTCATTTAAAGGATTTGAGTTAGAAAAGTAATGGAGGGTAACCAGCTTTATGATTTTAATGTATCGTAGAGACTGAATTGAGTGTATCAAAGTAGATGCAAGTATTAGCTAACTATTGTAAGGGTCCTGGTAGGGTGTTCAAAATAATGAAGATGGAAGTTTCTTTCCCACCAGGTCCCGCCACCCTTCAGCCCCAAATAAGCACACAGAGACATATTAATTGTTAAACTGTTGACCGATGGCTAGAACTTCCTACTGGCTAGCTCTGTCTTAATTATTAGCCTATAACTACTAATCTATATATTTCTACATGGCCTTATCTTACCAGAGAATGCCTGACATATATCCCATCTTCCCAGACTATACATGGCGTCTCTCTCAAGGTTTCTCTCTCTCTTTCTTTACTTCTTCCTCTGTAGCCCCCTCCTATATTGCCTGCCTGGCTAGCAGTCAATCAGAGTTTTTTTTTCCGAGATAGGGTTTCTCTGTATTGTTTTGGAGGCTGTCCTGGAACTCACTCTGTAGAGCAAGCTGGCCTAGAACTCACAGAGATCCACCTCTTTCTGCCTCCTGAATCTGGGGCCAATCAGAGTTTTATTCATCAGCCAATAAAAGAAACATATATACAGACAGACATCCCCCATCAAGTTAACATGGAAAATCTATATGGACTTATATGATCTATAGAAAAGGAGAAATGATAAGGCTTGTGATGGCATGGGTATGTGGCATGAGGAACAATATGAAGATTGAGAGGCTAGCTTTTAGGCTCCTATCTTGTACCTCATGATAGACAGATTTCCCTAGAGCAAGGAATTCTAGAGTACTAGTCTCAAAAGAAGAATAATGTTCAATATTGGATATGTTGACCCTCGAGCCTATTTCACATAGGCAGCAATATTGAGCAGATATTACACAGCCTAGAGCTTAAAAGACAGTCTCAGGATGGGTATATTTGTTTGGGAGTTGCCAGTATACAAATGGAAGAGGAAATTTTAGGGCTGTGTCTTAAGAATGCGTTAGGAGAAAAAATAGAGCAGGAAAGAAAGAGGCCTGGGACTTATCTTGAAAAACTGTTGGGAAGACAAAATTCACAAGCCTGCAGAAAGAAGTAGAAAAAATAGTGTTTAGAATGAGAAAGTAATCAAATGATTCTTCTAATTCAAATAAGTAGAAGTAAGAAACATCCTTATCCTTAATGACAATCTTTTTTTTTTTTTTTTTTTTTTTTGGTTTTCAAGGCAGGGTTTCTCTATGTAATAGCTCAGGCTGTCCTGGAACTCACTTTGTAGACCAAGCCGGCCTCGAACTCACAGAGATCCACCTGTCTCTGCCTCCTGAGCTCTGGGATTAAAGGCATGTGACATCAGCGCCTGGGTCGGCCTCACTGGTAATCTTTGAGAAAGCTTTATTTGGTAAAATGAAAGCTAGAAAGAATGTCTTGAGAGTGAGTGAGAGAAAAGGAAAAGAGAAGAGAGGCCATGGACAGCTTCCTGAAACACTTCTGTGAAGAGGCAGCAAAGGCTCCAGGAACATGTGGAGCGTAAGAGCAATTGAACTAGCAGACAGTAAAGACATCAATCATGAACAACACTGATGAGCAAAGAGCAGTTGCAAATACTTGAGAGAGATCTGGTGGATAATTTATATTGCTTCAAATGCCAAGAACAAATGTTGAAAGCACACTTACATTATATGAGAGAGACTCCTCAATTATATTATGCATATAATATATTTGAGAGAGAAAAATGGTGGCTAAGGAGGTATGCTTGTAGTTTTAGCTGCATGAAGGTAAGGCTTCAATCTTTTCTCTGTGTAGTTCATACAACTCCATGGAAGAGGACGGAGAAAGGGAAGCTGACAGGGAAACATACACTGTGTAAAGTGAGAGAGACTCCAACAAAGAAATGGAACTGCAGTAACTGAGCAGTGCTTGCGGACCAAGGAGGATGCCGAGGACTGTAATCATGCTGCTATGTTCAGTTTTGTGACTTTCCTCAGTGGCACAAAGCTACAAAGTGTGCATAAGACAAGGATAGCAAGATCCACTCAGAGCGAGACTTTTGTGACAAAAGTGAACAAGGAAGAGTGACTTTAGTGAGGACAGGTGGTGGGCTTGAATAGGATTCTAGAAAGAATGTAACAGATAAAAAAATAGCATCTTCCATTGTAGAATAAGTAAATGGTGAGCATACAAGTCATCAAGAATAATGTGAATATTCCTTGGAGCTCCAATGCTCAGCTGTCTATCAAATAGTAGCTAAGCAGTCTGCTGTCTGCCACATGACCTGCCTCCCTGACCCCCCCCTTTTCTTTCCCATCCTGCCTCCCTATTTCTCTCCCTTCATTTCTCCCTTTCTTCCTCCTTCGTTTCTTCATTCTTTTTAAATACTTCTCTATACTTTAAAAGACTAACAAGGCTGGAGAGATGGCTCAGAGGTCCTGAGTTCAATTCCCAGCAACTGCATGGTGGCTCACAACCATCTGTAACGAGACCTGGTGCCCTTTTCTGGCCAGCGGGCATACATGTAGGCAGAACATTGTATATATAATTTACAAATAAATATATTTTAAAAAAATTAACAATTTCAATTCCTTTTCCTTTTCATGTTAGAAGTATTTTAGAAATCAACAAATTTTATTTTGCAATATGATTGTAATAACTGTATAGAAATCATTTAAATGTATATTTAGTTTACCCAGAGATTAATAATATTTTATCCTGTATAGGTTTTAGATATCTGCACAATGAAAATGAATCTAGATTCACCGGCCAGATATATTTATGATATGAGTGGTAGAAAAGTTGAAGATATTTCAAAAGGTAAGTGGCAAATATTTTGTAACTCCTGTGATACAATTTTGAAAGAAATTTATATAATTTTCCCTTTAAGCATTTTGTAGAAAAGAAAAAGCAAGAATTTAATTATAGCACAAATAAACATGATATTCTTAAACAAAGGGGCACTGTGTATATTTATGGTGTGAAAACACCTTTCAAGAGACATCAGAATTATAAGAATAATTTTTTGCCACAAATTTGAGTTATTTTTAAAGCTGAGTATTAAATTTAGTGAACCATAAATAAATAAGCAATTATTGACATATTTGGTATCCAACATCTAAGACAAATTATTGGGCCTCAGGGTGTGGCTCAGTGGCGGAGGGCTGGCCCAGTATGTGCAAGGCTGTGGGTTCAATTCCCAGAGGAAGGTGGGTGGTGAGGGATAGAGGCAGAGAGTAAGGGGAAGGACTATCTCTAGAGGCTATTCAGATTACTCTTAACTTGGTTAATAGGAAGAATTTCAATTTAGAAATTTGAATTTATTTTCTTTCTGTGTGTGGTGTAACAAAATTGTTTCTGTACACAACTCAGGGCAGGCTAGGCAGGAGGGACACAAGTTTGACCCTAGTCAGGACATGGTCTCAAAAGATAAGATTTACTAACCCTAATAGTGAGGTAGTGACTGAGGCTGCTGTCTTCTGGCTGCCAGAGACTTTCAAATGCGTGCTCTTGCTTCATGGACCCCAGAAGTGTGTTATTATCACACTTTAATGTATGCCTCCCTCTGTGTTTTTGCATACTTATAGAAGCTGAGTCAGCTGAAATTAGCTTATGCAGTCACTAATATCAGATTTAAAATACGTAAAGAGACTAATCCAGTTGGAGGAACTTCCAGCCTGTAGCTCTCCTCATCACTTAATATTAGGTTCCAAAATTTGTTAACTATGATACTGTGCATGGACTGATCAGAGTCCCTCATTTTTCTGTTGATTATCTTCCAGATCTTGGCTTAGGAAAGACCAAATATTATATAAAAGATAACTTCTAGTTTAAATAAATAAATACTAATACTCTTGATTTCCTATGGCTTTTTTTGTTGTTGTTGACTTTATATCACATCAGGAAGTCAACCAATAAGGTCTAATGTTAAGTTCATAGCAAGTCTCTCAAAAGATTAGAAGGGAACATATGAGCAAGAGAGGTCAGGATCATGATGGAGAAATCTACAGAGACAGCTGAACCAAGCTCATGGAATCTTATGAACTCTAGACCTACAACTGTGGAGACTCCAGGGGACTGAACTAGGCCCTCAGTATGTGGGAGACAGTTTTGAGGCTTGCACTATCAGAGGGGCCCCTGGCAATAGGACCATGATACAAACCTGGTACATGAGCTGGCTTGTTGGAGCCCATTCCCTGTGGTGGGATGCCTTGTTCAGTCTTAATGCATGGGAAAGGATCTGGGCCCTGCCCCAACCTACTGTACAAGACTATGTTGACTCCTCATGGGAGCCCTCACCTGTAAAGAGGAGTGTACTGGGGGTGGGATGGGGGGAGGTGAGGGAGGGTGGGAGGATGGGTGGGAGGCAGAACTGTGGTTGGAATGTAAAATGAAATAAAAAAAGATTTGTAGTGCTGTTGTACCAGTGGTTATCAGTGCCTCCTACTTCTACTATAGATGTATACTTTCAAACATTCCTCCCTCATTATGAGAAATGAGCACATTTGTCATGACATGTAAGTACTCTTACATTGTCACAGCTAGCAAACTTTTAAAAATCTCACATGATTTATAAATTGCTTTTGTGGTTAGGTTTCTAAACCATAAGGGATTTTACTAAAAATATTTACATAATACAGTATCCCAAAAATGAAAGGGGATGTGAAAATGAGGTCCCACTCCGAACCAATAACTAATGATACCTGTTGTCAAAGGGAAGTTTCAAATTTTCTCCAATGGAATGTCACTGGGTAGGTATCACTCCATGGTAGGTCCCATGCTGAGGAGTAATTGGTCCATGCAAAATGAACTCCATAATTTTTTTAAAGAGTTGTTTTGATATGTTTTGTTTGTTTGCTTTGTGTGTGGGGGGCTTGCTTCATTTTGGAACTTTTTGTCCTTTTTTGGTTTGTTTTTTGGATATTTGTTGGGAGAGAGAGACAGAGAGAGGATATGAAGTTTGGTAGTTTAAGGAGGTGGGAGGATCTGGCATCTGGGAGGAGTAGAGGGAAGGCAAAACATGATTGAAATATATTGTATGAAAGAAATTTGAAATAAAAAAGGAAATCACATACCAACAGCAATTCTTTAGTTGTGGTTTTCTGTGTAGATCTATTCTTTCAACAATAGATGAGAATTATTTATTTCATATAGATTTCTGCAGGTAATCAATATGCTATTAGATAACATGCTGATGTCTGTCAGGATAACAGGGTTAACAACAACAACATCAACAAATCAAGAGGAGTAGATTTTCCAGATTTATATATCTTTAAAACCAGGGCATTAACTGAATAATAGTTATTAACTTAGGTAATAATATGACTATCCTGGCCAGGCATCCCAGAGTATGCTGTAGACAGAGAATATTAGATGCACAGACAATGGAATAGGAGACAGTGCAAACTGAAGTGAAGGCACAGGAGGAAGCCAAACTCCCACATTAAAGAGCACAAGGCCAGTGTATGGCTTTATGAGGCACAGCCATTAAGACGAGGGCTCTCTGCTTAGGGAAAAGTGCATGCATCATCCAATCCTGTGTATTGTCTGAATCACTCCCCTAGTTTACTAATCAATTTTGAGCTATTTGATGTCATAAATGCATTTGAAAGTACACAGTGTTCCTTTAAACAATTTATAGTTAATTAATTTGTATGTGTGTCTATGTGCTTGTGAGCATGTGGAGATCAGAGGATAACTTGTAGTAGTTGGTTTTTTCTGACATATAGGCCTGAGACATTGAACTTGGGATGTTAGACTAAATAGCAAGTCCTTTTACCCATCTTGGTCTTATTGACCTTAATCTCTCTCTCTCTCTCTCTCTCTCTCTCTCTCTCTCTCTCTCTCTCTCTCTCTCTCTCTCTCTCTCTCTCTCTCTCTCTCTTTCTCTCTCACCCCCCTCTCTCCTCTCTCTTCCCTCTCTCTTCCCCCCTACCTCTCTCTCTCTTAAAAAAGTCTATGTACTGTGTGAATGCCTGGTGTTCAAGGAGTATAGAAGAGGGCATCAGAGCCCCTGGGACTGAAGGTACAGATGGTTTTAAACTGCTCTGTGGGTGCTGGGGATCAAACCCAGGTCCTCTGTAAGAGAACCCAGTGGGTGGTCTTAACTGTCTTCTCTCCATCCCTCTAGTGTCTCTTTGGTGGTGCTATTCCCATTCTGGTTAATAGTCTCCACATTTTTTTTTTATATCTTAACTGCTTTGGCAAATTATTACATTTCGATGAACCAGGAAAGTCACTCTCCTTGTCAGAGCAAGGCCACCAGTCCCTTAGGACCTTTATGGGGGTGATTTTTAAAACAACTCTGCTTTCTTGAGGACCTTCTAGACCTTGGTGGGTAGTTGTAGACCTTACCCCAGTGCTTCTGAAATGAGTCAGAAGAGTGTATCAACTAAGCAAGTCTGTGGCCTGAGATGTACCTTGGGAAGTTTTTTTTTGTTAAGACATGTTTATGACTTCATAAATGTACAGCATCTCCAAGAGAAACTTGACCAATGTACACTGGTTCCCGTCTCATACTATGGTTCATAGTATAGTGAAGTGCTTTCATTTTGAGTTGAAAATCCAGTTTATATCAGTAAACTGTTTACATCAGTGTATAAAGTATATAAGAGTATATGAAGTATATAAAAACAGTTTATATCAGATGCTTAATTAGCTTCTTTGAGATCAGTTTCCTAATTTGTAAAACAGGAGCTACAGTAAATACTTTCATAGGTAGTTTTGGGGATTAAATAAATTATATTTAAGGTCCTTAAAGCAGCATTATATAAGACTAGTTTTTATCAGTATTGCTATCAAAATCAGTCTCAAAGGGAACTGACAGTGCTGTGCTTGCTACATTTGGAAGTTTGCCTGGGTGGTCACCCCACTGTGGTTGAGGCTCTGTTCTCTTTTGTGAGGTGTTTCTCATATCTTAATGCTCGTTTTTGTCTTGGTCACTAATTCTAGGCCCATGCCAAACTCTGAGTGGTTCTTGTCTGGTGGCAAAATGCCCAATTTGTTTCAGAAACACCAGTTTTACAGCTGTGTTCTAGCAACTGCCACAAGAGCCTCTGCCTAGGGAATTGTTAAAACCCAAGGGGCCCACTTCATCGTCATAGGTCTTCCTTTATAGTCAAAATCTTGTCTGGTCTAACAATAACTTAAGGTAGAATTTTGGACTGAAACTACCAGGCTCATGTTCTCTAAGGCCCTGGTGAGGACTAACTTCACTGCCTTCTCCTTCTAAAGCATGGTGTCTCCTCAGTTGTTCAGTGTGTCTTGCTTGAGTTAATATTTTGGTTCAGTATATTTTAATGCAGTATTTAATATACCTGTTCTTTTAAGAAATGTTTGGAGTTAGCATTCTCTGCTACAGTTATGTCCCTTATTCCCCTCCACTTTGCTTCCTGCTCCATGCTTGCACTATTCTAACGTAGACCTTGAGTTATTTTTCTTGCAGTGTCTCTCATAGTGAGAGATATGAAGAGAATATATTTCAAGCTTATCAATGTGTCTTTTGTTCATGTCAGTCTTGCTCATTTTTATTTCCTTGAGGTCAATAATCCTGCCAAGGGTCGCTTCTCTCACAGCCTGATTATCTCATTTGGATGTGGGGTTTTTGGTCTATTATTAACCCTGCCTGGTTCTCTGTAGCATGGTTTATCTGGCCTTTGTCTTCCCTTTGTCTTAGGACCTGAGTTCGTATGATGCTTTTTTTTTCTTCAGTAATTTATCCCAGTCTTCATCTCTCATTATTTTGTGTCCTGTTTGCATAAGAGAGTCCCAATCACTGGTATCTAATTTGTCTGTAACATGAATGCCACCTCCTCACAGTA